TCATTTGCTCATAAATTTGGATTATCGCTGGGAGGTAGTAGTGGTCTCTTTTTTTACTCCATGGGTAGTCTGTTCCGTATGCTGAGTACCCTTCGCTGAAGAAGTGTGACCGGGCGAAAACTCGAGACCGCGCCTTAGCTAGATTCATGCTTTTTCCCCGTGTAGAGGAATCTAGTATTTCCTGAAACAGCGTTTCTGTTCTAACACTAGATAAACCTTTCGTTATCTTAAATGTTTCTATCGTATCTCCCAGAGCCTTCTCTTTTTTAAAGAAAATAGTCCCAGGTCCTGAAACTTTTGCTTTTAGCCTTTTTCTTGCTGATCATTAACCATTCTCGCTGCCAGCCGTTGAACGCGCTCTAAACTGGCGGCGTTCTTATTGAAGAGGGGTGTCCTTGCCGGGACACTACTCTAGTTTGGGTCTTAATACATCCTTGTAAATAGTTATTAATACATCAGGTTTACGGCTCGGCAAAGTTAATCTTAGTCTATATAGCTCACTCCTAGCTTCATGTACCGCTCTGGCACATTGGTTTGCCCACTTAACTGAACCGAGGTGCGCGATTCGAAATTTGAAGTGGAGCCCAAGAAAGCAGAGAGTTTCAAGGAAACGCGAAATAAACCGTCAAAAAGTCACAGATACATCCGGGGAAAGAGGTAACATGGTCGTTTTCGATCTCACGGAGTAGCATATCTCGAACTTGGGAGATTCGCCGACGAGAGAACCTTGTGGTGACGACAAAGTACTCACTTATAAGTTGCGCTGCATGATTCCACTGGGACGTTAGTTTAGGCTAGCCTCATCTAAACTCAGATTCTGTATCTTCCCGTTAGCTTGTTTGATAATTGCTTCCGTATTTCTATGCCTCTTAGTTCATTCTTTTATAGAATCGGTTTTTCAGGCTTAGCCCTCAATTTTTATTGGTCCATACAAATCTCTTTTGATAAATAATCAATGGTGAAGGTATCCCGAGTAGGGATCTCCGAAATCTCCAACACGCCTTCACCCACCGGCAAATGTCGTAACACAAAGAGCCGTTCGTAGGCAGTGAAAGGAGGTACACGAGGCAACACGAGTTGCGCTTGATATCACATTAAATGCAGCGGGCTATCTGAGTTGAGCTATGGAGTGCATAAAAAGTTCACGGGTCTAAATTGGGATGGCATCCTATGTAGGACACGCATTAAGAACTTGGTCCAACTAGAGAAGAAGGGTGGAGGAGAATGTAACGCAACGGGCGGCGGCAAAGCAATCAAGGAAAAGAGGCAAACAAAGAAGCCTCCAGTACTTCTATCAGAAATTTTACCTTGATACCCAGAGAGGATATTATGGGTGAGTCTTTATCGAAGTCCTTAAATAAAAGGCAGTAACCTCTGAAGCCGTTCTAGAAGCCGAAACCGCTGATAAACCAGTGGGAGGAGAAAGAAGAGGAGAAAAAAGCTCCATAAACCAACAGTTGCGTCTAAAACTGAAACAGCAGGCTGAGGTCTGCTTTGCAATGCAGCATCCTAACTAAGAGCACGGGCAGACGAGGATGATGTGATAGTAATCACAGAATCGTGGCGGTGACCTTTAGACGAAATTAGTAACTTGAGCTTTCCCAGCTATATCCCCAGAAGAACGGATCGCCAGGATGGACGGACCGGAAGTGGAGTGCTGGTGCTCGTAGCCACTCACCACAGCCAGCATGAAGGATGTCACCACAATATTCGGAATGTCAAAGCAGTAGAGGTGGTTGTGCAAAATGCACCACACCGGATATCAGTTATCGCTATCTACAGGAGCCCATCGGCCACGATAGAGGAAAATGACGAATCTGTTTTGGCGCTTCAGAGCCAAATCAGAATCACTACTTTTATTTCAGTTAAGGTTTAGGAACCCCGTTTGAGCATTTCCGCTCAAATGGTGTCGGTGATACTTGAACTAAAATGCCCTTCGTATCACCTTGTTTCTTTGCCTGAACTATCCTGCCTCTACCACCTGATCCTCCTCTCTCTAGTATCTTGCCTGCTGAATGTCTCTAAATGCCAGCCAAGTTCTCCCTTGCTCTTCTTTCTTCACCTTTTTTCCTATACATTTTCTCGTCGAAGTGTTTGTATTGCACGCTTTACAATTGTCAGCATTGCCATTTATATTTTCATTGCTAGGTCTCTCTTCTGGTCATTTGTCGGAACTGTTTTATTAGTTCAATTTATGATTCCATTTTCGCGACGGTTCTGAAGTTTTAGCAGTAAATTGCGCAATAACCTGCATGCTTCCTCTCCTTCCCTCCCCCACTCATCAACTAGGAACCATACCCAAGACTGTTTCGCATTTCCGGCTTCTATTCCACAGATCTTCTGCTGTAAGACTAACCGCGACTCCTGTCAGATCGGTACGATATGCACCGTTGAAGAAAACTAAAGTAAACCGAAAAACCAAAAGCTGAACTCTATGAAATCTTTTATGATTGGACCGTTTCACTAAACAAATTCAGTGTTGAGTTGCAGGCCCACACGCAACGACCCAAACGCCTCGTGTTTTTTTATAGATGATAGAATACCTGGCGAGGCATGAAATCTCTCCTCCTCGTCTTGAACCAATCACCCTCGCCCAAACAGTGATTTTACTCAGAAGCTGGTCGTACCGAAAGGACTTTATATAACAATTTTTTCAAACACAAATCTTCCAGCACATACAAAGCAACCTTCAAAACAACTCCACCCATCCAGTTTTTGTGTCTTTTCGCCTCCACACGATCAATATTTGACATCTTTACCGCGTCCAGTATGCTCAGTTTTCCTTTCTCTTCCCTGATTGTACTCAGTTCTAGATAACACAAACCCATCGACATGTGTACACGTTTCATTTCTTACACTTCCGCCTCTGTGACTTTTTGTCTTCATATTTCCTTATCCACAGAACTATAACCTGTCATAAATGTGCCACCTTGCTCACCTTCCTTTTTATCATTTTCCCGAATGAACAAAGTTATCCACTGACCGTTTTGTGTTTATCTTTGTTTCTTGCGCGCAAACAGATCGCGTTCCGGTTTTTTTCTCAACTTTCTTAACTGTCGACCCAAATGTTCTGCCATTTATTGTACAAAGTGATCGTGTATTCCAGCATGCCTCACGACTTTCGTTGTGAAATATACCATTGTTATTGTTACTTCTGGAGCTGTTAACTGAACCGGCTGAATCTAATAACGGTGTTATTATTAGGAGACTTCAGCGCTCCAGAAATTGATTAGACTACCGAAACTACCCTACTAAGGAGGTTCGGGGAAAGCCCACTTTGAACGTTACATCGTAGGGCTCCGATCCAATATGTGCCCGGCAAAACCACTTGCAGGTTCGGATAAACTGTTTCTACTCTAGATCTAGTGTGCACAAAATTCCCCATTGAGGTGCAAGGAATTGTTGCCAAGGACCGATAGGCAAAAGAGACCATGGTGTCATAAGGATGAGGATTGTGATGCCGGGCCTTCCTGCCCCTGACAAACTCCGGTGTCAGTGAAGCAAG